GGTCAAGTAAAAATTTCATGAAATAATAGAAGAAAGCATTCAATGAGAATTTTATCAGCCTCATTTTAGCTTGACTTTGACACTTGCTGTGTGATTTTAGACACCGACTTTCTTTCTCACATATACAGAGTTTCTTCCTCATTTGTTACATTATATTTTTCACAGTCTTAGAAGCTCAAATATGTGTTTATATATCAATGTTCATTCTCTGGTGTTTCCTTTTCCTTTAGTGGTTTTTACGTGATATTCATATGTAGGTGCTGTAGAAAACTGTTAATGTATAACAGGATGCTTTATCTGTAATAGTCTCTCCACATATATTTATAATTTAGTATTTTAAATTTAGTGCTATTCCAAAGTAATAATCATGTGTCTTTGAGTTTTCTATCTAAACTATGTGATAAGACTAAATGGGGCATTGGGAATGTGTGGAGTGCTGAGCAGTTGAGAGGCAAGTCCTCAAAAGTAAGGAAGTTGAGGGTCTTTTTCCTCAAGAATTGACCACAGAGGCCGAGAAGAAGAGGATGCTATCAGGGAGAATCAAATAGGAAATAAAGATTATGAGGGAGATTTATCAAGGAAGGGGAAACAGTTTGGTATTGAATGTTGAAGAGAGCCAAAGATTTTAATTCAAATCAAAGAGAATATAGTTAAATATTCTGAGAGTAAGTCAACTCAGTTTATTTTAATAACTGCTAGGACTAGAAAGTGTACTATGCCTCGAGTAGAGTACAAGTAGGAAAAAACATTTAACAGAATGTCGTGTTGGTGGCTTTTTATCTAATTGTCTCTTGAAACACGGTTGGCACTTGACAATTTGGCATATAAACACGCTTCAGAAATAATGCTTCCTATAAATAACTAATACTGGTTATCTAAGGGGGGTGGAGGAAACAGAATCTTCCGTGTTTTTATTATTTCTAGCTGTAAACTGCATGTATGCTCTGCCTGCTAAAAAAAAGAAATGATGACTTCTAACTTGAATAAGAAAAACTGATTCTTTTGTGTGGTGAGTAGATTCCAAGTTAAGGCTGCTTGTTACCTTCACAAATAGTTTCTTCCCAACATGAGATCATTTTGATAACAGTTGACATCTGTTTTTAGAGTCTACGAAGAAATAGAAAAGTCAAGTCTCACATGTCTAATTACACATTCATCTCAGTTGTGTGGAGTCTGAGTTTTCCTACATTAAAAATATTTAAATTGGATTTTGGTGATCATTTCTTAAACATTGGGAATGACGTTTTCCTGCTTGAAAAAGGTACTCGTAATCTAGGTTTTGAAAATGAATTTGAAATTTTTGGTGACCATTTTTTAATGATCTTTTCTGCATCTTCTGCGATTTACTGAACTTGTATTCTATTTTGAATACCTGTTGTTTGCTGGTTAATCTTCAAAGTTATGAATGAGAAAAATAATGTCATTTCTTGCACTTCTTACATTTCATTCTGCTTTTTACTCATTGACAACATACTTCTGGCTACTAAATACAATCACTTTTATTATATTTTCTGCTTATTATGTAAGTTCCTGGTAAATGTTTTCTGCTTTACGCAATGGTAATGTTTGCACTCAAAATCACTTGTTAGTGCATTTTTCGGTTATGACTTTTTGCAAAAATAGAATACTGTCTTCATCTTGTATATATGCCACAATTTATTAATAAACTTATTGTACTGTTTTCTTTGGTTTTGTTTGGGATCACATCCAGTTTGACTCAGGGCTTACTCTTGGGTCTGCCCTCAATCACTTACTGTACTAAACTGCTTGCTGAATAGCCCAGATTGCATTCTTATCTATATACATTTTTTTCAGTTCTTTGATACATATCTTATATGATTTTTTCTTTATACATCCTTCCATGTGATTACATGAAATAGACAGACTTTTTTATGCATGCACAGCACTGTAGCACTGTTCTGTAGCACTTTACTATCATCGTTCATCGATTTGCTGTAGTGGGCACCAGTAACGTCTCCATGTGAGACCTGTAGTTACTGTTTTTCGCACATCAAATACATCGTGGGTAGCTTGCCAGGTTTTGCCGTGCAGGCAGGATACTCTCGGTAGCTTGCTGAGCTGTCCAAGAGGGACAGAGTTATCGAACCCAAGTTGGCCACATGAAGGGCAAACGCACTATCCCCTGTGCTATAGCTCCATCCTTAAGTTTGCAGATTATTTTTTTTCCCCTTTATTTTATTTTATTTTTTTTAAAGTTGTAGATTTACAATTTTTTGTACTTTGGTTTCAATTATACAATGATCAGATACCCATCCCTCCACCAGTGCCCATTTTCCACCACCATGGATAATATCCCTCCCACCCCCATCCCCCCCATCCCCCCGTCTCTGTGGCAGGGCAATCCCCTGTGTTCTCTCTCTCCTTTTGGGTGTTGTGGTCAAGTTTGCAGATTATTTTTAATTAGAGTTGTTAGTAACTACTTTGCTGGAGAGCAACTGGAGACTGAGATTTTAAATAACAAACTTCCTTCTAAAAGCACTTCTTGAGAAAAATTCAAGTACTCATTTTTGAGGTAGGATCAGAAACCAGGGTAAGGTTGCTATCCTTCAACTCATCAAGGAGATTGAGTCACATATGTGAACCGTAAGAAACAGATGTGAATTCCACAAGTCAAAATGAAAATCTGAATACTACAATGCTAATAGTTGTAATCACTGCAAATGCCTATATTAATGTAAGGTATCTTCCTCCTAGTTTCTGCAGAGTCCTGGCAAGAAAATCCACATTCTTAGGTTCTGTAACCCGGCAAAACATAAGGGACAGAGAGATAGTACAGGAGGAGATAAGGTACTTGCTTTGTACGCAGCCAATTCAGTTGAACCTCTGTCACTACACAGAGTCTCCTGAGCACTACAAGGCACCTCTCCACAGTACAGAGCAAGAAGTAGCCCAAGATCATTGACGGGTATTGGTCCAACCTGCACCCTACCCCACTTACAATATAAATAATGGGAAAATGGAACAAGTCTCTATGCCATCTCTGCAATTCTGGTTTCTTTCTTCTCCAATAAAATGTTACTCATTCTCTTAGGACTTCCTCGTTTTAAAATGCTTCCATTCTAGAAAATAACACATGAGTTCAATAGGTGATCAAGCTACAGGTAGAGCTAAGGCAAGGAGAAACTATCTATAAGCAAGAAATCCATGTACAAAACACATCACCTGAGGCTCTATAGCTCTGTTTACACTTTGGGAGCACAGCGACAAATATACAAAGTGCCAAAACGTTCCAGCCCTTCAACCACGCAAAACTCTGGACTAATGGGAATTCAGTTGAATGTTGGTATTAGAAGCTTCTCTCTAGCAAAAACTTTAAGTGAATATTGTTCATCTCAAACGTTGTAGGAGATTCTCAGTCTCACAGATTCTTTTCTTCACCTCTTATTCCTTACAGAAAATTTTGAAAATTCATCTGTATTGGGAACTGCACATTCTCTGCATCTTTCGCTTCCCGTGGTGAAAAATGCACCTTCCCTGCAACTACTCCAGAGTATGTGCTCCAGCTGGTAGTTCTGCTTGGCTCCTGCCCTCAGCTTCTGGCATCTCTTTCCAACCACTGATGGGCAGTGCCTATCTTTACCAACATTCTAGCACAACGATGCTGTCTGGAATGTCTGGTCAGAGCCACATGTCCACTGCAGCTGCTTTCTACCCGAGTATTTTGGAGTGGGGTATTGCAGGATTTGCTAAAGAGAAGTCTTCCATGGGAGACTTTACTGATTATCCTTGACCAAGATACCACTGACTCTTCCATAACTATGGCAGCTTACTATGAGAAAACCTTAGATACCAACAACACGGTGTCTGTGTACCCATTACATTCTGCCAGTCTTTTTGAGAGGACACCATCTCAGGTTCCAAATCAGAGTCTTAGCCTGTCACTTCCCTACCAAAAATCATAGTTAGTAGCTGGCATAGATTTTTTCATCTATTCTATCTTTACCCACTATCCTTTTCTGGGTGTATGTTTGCTAGCAGAATACCTGAACCTTAGAGATTTTTGATTGGGGATGATTACTCATAATATTACACCACTTTGTACCCCTAAAGTAGGTAATAGTGTATATTATAATGTATGAATATATATTTTAATTTTATTAAACATCATATAATGTATATTAGTAATAATGTAATACTATTGATTAACAAGGCAATATAAATGATGATCTAGAAATATTATTGATTTATTAATAAAATATGTAAGCTCAAAAGAATAATAGGAGAATTTAGCTAACATCAGAGTCTGAGGAAGATGAAATTGTCATAAATGTCCTGTAGGATTCTATCTCCTAACCTCCTTCGTTCTACCTCTCTCTCTCTCTCTCTCCAATTCGGTCTTCTTCTTGGGAATCTGACCTCCTTATTGGCTAGCCTCTACCTTGCAACTGTCTGCTTTATGACATCATTCTCCCACCAAACCTACCACCATCTAGTAGAATCTTAGGATTCCCGTACAGTTGTTTGTAAAAAAAATTTGAATCATTATGGCAAGTGACCAGTGACCAATGACCAATGACCAGTGACTATCATCAGTACTGGACACTTGTGGTCTTACGCTTCAGTGTTCAGACGTACTCTCGTATCGTCTCCTCTTATTGTCTACCTTTATCGGTATTTCCTCTTCTCTGACCATGTCAGGTAAGGAATAATACTTTTCAGACCTTTTCATTAGAGTTCTTGTCTCTAATCTTAGTACTCAAGTAAAAACATCATGTAATAATGGAAGAAAATATTCCACGAGAATTTTATCAACCTCATTTTAGCTTGACTTTGACACTTGCTGTGTGATTTTAGACACTGACTTTCTTTCTCGCATATACAGAAATTTTTCCTCATTTGTTACATTATATTTTAGTGAGAGGTATCCTGTGACCATGGCCAAACCTAACAGCAAACTTCGGAAAGCTGAATCCAGCAGGACCAGCAAGACAAAGAGCCATGGGCAGGAGAAGACAAAAAGGGTCAGAGAAAAGTCTAAGAAAGCTGAGGAGAGTAAGCAGCCATGGAACAAGGTCAGGGCAGAAGAGAAGCACACCATTGCCAAGATGAAACGCAAGAAAAGTCAACCTGAGCTTTGCCAAGAGGCCTTTCAAAAGCCCCGCAGCTGCCTAGGCATGCACATGCTGGAGACTGTGCAAGTGTTTCATGCTCTGGGGAAGAAGAGTGATCCAAAGCCTGGATTCTCTTCCTCCCGGGTTCTAGGTAGTTCAAAGAAGCCCAGCGACTTCCAGCCATCCTTAACTGTCAAACCATGGCTAGGTGCTACACCGGATGAAAAAGGTCTTGAGAGAACTCAGGTCAAAGCACAGAAACCAAATAGCAGTGCTGAAGAACGCTCATCTCCATCCCAGGATGAGCTGCCACCTCCTGGGAAGGTCAAATTGGTCCCTTTGCCTTTTCTAACCATGGAGAAGCCACAAACTCGGCCTGTTCCTCGGAGACCACAGTTTGTGGCCTCACATCGTCCTGCTGCAGCTTACCCTGCCAGATCTGGCTCTACCAATTTAGCTCTGCCAACTGCCGCCAATTCATCCTGGCCAACCAATGCATCTTTGCCTGGTCCTGCCAAACCAACTCAGCCCATTTCGACCACCCCATCTAGACGAGGTTTACTGAACCCTAGTAGCCGACCTATTCCTCAGCCTGCAACTTCTAAGCCTGCTAACTACAAGACCACAGTTAGCACTTCTCTCAAGTGGTAGCCCCTTCCCGTCTCTGTGAACAAGCGCCAGTCTCCACCCAAACATCAGAGTCAGTTTCTCCTCCAAGACTTCCGTTACCAACCAATTCCGTGGAGAAACCCCAATTTTCCTGAGCCAGTAATGTCAAAGCCCATCACAAGAGAGCAGAGACCAGAGCATGAGGCTATGAAAAGGAAGGCTCAGCAGGAGCGTGAGAACGCTGCCAAATATACCTCTTTGGGGAAAGTGCAGTTTTTTATCGAGATAGAAAAAGAGATGGACCTCTCTCTATCCTATGGCTATGTAATGTGAGTAGCTGGAATGGTTGGTGCCATTTTAGTTCCCGATGTTTGCCCTAGACGAACACTACAAATACCATACAAGTTTTATTTATTTTGCTATATTTTAAAAAAATTGAAGAGATGCATTAAAGTTAATACACTGGTAATAAAAGTTCTGAATTTTGAGATGCTGTCAACTGTGGTTGTTATTTGGAGGGGATTGGAGTTGAACGATGATATGAGACAGAATGGGAAGTTAGAGAGAGGACAAAGGGGGAACAGACAAGACTCTAAGAAAGATAAACTTGGTCCAGGGTTATAAAGCTCATAAGAGGAGAAATTTCACGGGCCTGATGAAGAGTGGGGGAGGGTCTGAGCAATAGTATAGCTGATAGGACATATCCCTGCACACAAGACTGACCCAAGTTCAATTCTTGCAATCCTATTTGGTCCCCAGAGTCCCAGCAGATGTGAAACTTGAGTGCAAAGCCAGGAGTAAGGCCAGAGCACAGTCATGTATGCCCCATCCACAGTCTCCTTCAAAAAAGAATGGGAGAAATGGCACAGAGAGAATGTTTGGGTTAGAATAAATTTGGAATAGGCCGAGGAAGTAGATGAGTCTAAGATGACCAAAAGGAAATTAAATTCTTTCATGGAGGCTGTGTTATGCCTCATGACCATTTTGGAAAATAAAGAAATTTGAGACACATCTCCAAAAGGTTTGGGTGCTCTATCCACAAATGATCATGGCTGGGGAATGAGACCACATACACTGGGGAATGAGCCTGCCAGATGAGTGGTCAACGGTCCTCAGAGGTATTCAGGAGCGACTGTTAACAGGAACGAAGCCAAGAAAACAGTTGTAGCATGAAGCCTGAAGTTCAGCTCCTGGCATATGTAAAGATAAATCACCATGTAGTCAGGCCCTATGTTCAGAAACCCTAGATCCACCATTTCACTTCATCTTCCCAAAAAATACTCAGAGCTGGTAAGCGGTCCCACTGTGTTAGCGAGGTTCAACAATGAGGTCTATGTGACTAAGTTCTTTGGATTTGCAAACTCACCAAGGTGGCTAAGCCGGCTTTCAGGCCACAGCATCCTGACATTACTGGCATGGCGAGTTCAAAATATAATCGCTTAACGGGCCACTCGATGGTCTTCCATGGTCCCTGTTGCCTGCAGCCTGCTCTAAATGTCGCTGTTAACTGAAGTTCACACAAGAACCAACGCAATAAATGGCTTTGGGCTCTAGGTTGCGGGAGGTACCGGACTGGGACATGCACACTAGATCATCACTCCCAAAGCGGTTGGTACCGGTACTCCTTGAGACTGGGAAGGCAGAGGTGGGAAGAGGTGGTCCTTGGAGAGTTATGGGGTGATGGATGAAAGGGAAGGAAATGGGGAAGGGCAGGGACAGGGACAGCAGATGGTCATCATGGGAAAGTGGGTGGATGTTCTTTAAACATGTTATAATGGTTTTTAGTGAAAAACTGTATTCCATAAATGAGAGGAACAGTAAAAACAGGAAAAGAAAATAGGTTTAAAATAACAGGTCACATCCAAGGCCAGAAAGAGCTCCAAGGGCTGGAGTTCTCTCTGGAGCTCCTGACTGGATCTTGGTCAGGCAGCCTGGTCACCCAAGCATCACTTGTATGTGACCACAAAACTCCCAAGTGTTATACTTAAAAAAAAATAAAGAAACAAAGTGCAAGCTGCATACTATTGAGAATGGTTGACTCTCCTTTTGCAGGGACAGTGGGAGGGACTTTGAATTGATGTGTTTTCATTATTTCCTAAGGGGAAAATAGTCAGAACACCTCGGTCAGCACCGGGATTAGAGGCCCAAAAAGGGAGGGTCTCATGGCCTTATGTTGCTACAGTGAAAAAGGTGAGGTTTATTAGTTTATGTAATTTAGAGTTTGCAAAGAAAAAACTCAGTCACAGCCCTACAGTTATTCCCAATTTTCGTAGGTGCTTGTAGGGAATGAGTGAAGGAGAGAGAACTTGCACCCTTTTATAATACTCATCTGCATAAACTTTTTTTGTGTGTGGGAACCACCATTTGAGACTAACATCAGCGGCATTTGGTATACTTGCTAGTTTTGCAACTATTACCGTTTTCTATCCATAACATCTTCATCATTGCCAAAAAGACCCTCTACACTACCCGCTGACCTCTCCATTCTCTCTTTCTTCTGGTTTCTGGCAACACTCATCTTTTTGTCTATGAATTTGCTTACTCTGAAAACTTCATATACATGGATCCTGAGATATGTGACCTTTGGACAGCCTTTTTCACACCCTGATGCTTTCAAACTTCATCTGTGCTATAGTGTGTCATTATAGTATTCGTAACGCCCGCCTGTCCTTCGCCAACTACAAGACCAAGAAGACTGCTCTCCGACTTTCTGATGGATCCATCACATCCTCCAGAATGGCAATGGAGAAGATTTTCCATGACTTCTACTCAAATATCTTCGATAGCCATGTCCACTTGCTGACATACCAAATTCCACAGGATGGATATGTCGTTCCCAATGTTCTCGCTTCCGAAATCCGACACGCCATTTCGTTGGTAAAGAAACAAACAGCACCCGGCCCAGACAGGTCAGACCTGAACACCTGAAGAACCTGCCATCAGTACTCATCAATACACTGGCTCTGCTCTTCACTGCTACCTGTCTGAATGCAACATTCCATCCCAATGGAAAACCAGCAGGACCGAACTACTGTTCAAGAAGAGAGACATCCATGACATTGGCAACTATCGCCCGATCTGCCTATTGTCTGTCATCTACAAGTTGTTCACTCGAGTCATCCTAAATAGGATTGGCAGAACACTAGATGAAGGACAACCATGCGAGCAAGCCGGGTTCCGCAAAGGATTCAGCACCATCGACCATATCCACACGATAACCAAGCTCATTGAGGTTTCTCGGGAGTTCAAGATGCCGTTCTGTTTAACGTTCATTTATTTAAAGAAGGTCTTTGATTCTGTTGAGATGGAAGCGGTCATTGAAGCCCTAGACAATCAGGGCATTCAAGCCCAATACATCAAGATCCTCCGTGAGCTGTATTGCGGATTCACTACCAGGATCTCACCATTCTACAAAGAAGTGATCGTTGATGTCAGGAGAGGGGTTCGGCAGGGTGATACCATTTCACCGAAACTCTTCAGTGCCACCCTCGAGAATATCATGCGACGACTGGAATGGGAAAGAATGGAAGTGAAGATAGATGGTTGGCAACTACACCACCTCTGTTTTGCTGATGACATTGTTTTAATAACACCAAACATCAGCCAAGCGGCACAAATGCTGGCCGACTTTGACCGTGAGTGTGGAAAGACAGGACTACAGCTGAATCTTACAAAGACAATGTTTATGAGAAACAGCCTCGTTCCTGATGCCCCATTCGCTCTCAACGGAATGACCATCTCCAAATGCAACAGCTATGTGTACCTAGGTCGAGAAGTCAACATGACAAATGACCTGGCACCCGAGCTGCGCAGGAGGAAGAGAGCAGCTTGGAACGCCTTCAAGAACGTCGAAGAAATAGTAAGAGGATGAAGAACCTCCGGCTCCGGGCACATCTCTTTGATTCCACTGTTCTTCCTGCATTAACATATGCCTCAGAGACCCGGGCCCTACGCAAACAGAATGAGAATGCTATTCAGGTCTCCCAAAGAAGACTAGAAAGAGATATGCTTGGAATATCACGTTTCACTCAAATGAGAGAAAAAATCCGGAGTTCCGACATCCGTCGATGATCAAGAATCAGGGACGCTGTCTCATTTGCCAAGGTGTCAAAAATCAGATGGGCTGGTCACGTAATGAGATTTAAAGACGACCGCTGGACTAGAGCTGTTACTGACTGGATTCCACGGGATGTCAAAAGACCACGTGGCCGCCCACCTACCAGATGGTCAGACTTCTTCGTCAAGATCATGAACGATTGGTTTGAGGCTCTTCATGATCCCAGAGTGAACAGATGCCATTGCGCTACACTAGTACGCGACAGGGACAAATGGAGACGTTACTGGCGCACGCTCGAGCAAATCGACTACTAAGGGGAAGTTAAGTGATAAGTGATTAAGTGATAATTATCATTACTTCCTATGACTAGTATTCTTTTGTATGGATCACCCATATTGGAGAGGTTTCCACACTTCCTAAATGCACAGAGCCCTGGACGTCTCATACATAGGCTAAATGAAATACTGAAGTGTTTGGAGACATTGTGCAGAGTGTAGGGTGCTTCCCTTGCACGTAGTGGGCCTGAATTGGCTCCCTGGCACCCCATGTAGTACCCTGATCCCTGCCAGGGGTGATCCCTGATCGCAGAGCCAAGAGGAAGCTCTGAGCACCATCAGGTGTGGCTCCAATACAAAAAATAAAAGCATTCATGTACACACACAAAATACCATCCCCTTCATATATTTTAGATGCTAATGACATCAGGGTGTAGACTGGATAATGGTAATTGAAAAAGATCATCAACCCTGAGAATGTTCCTTTGTTTCATTAAAACTCGACTCAGTGCATGCTATGGCTGGTGATGGAGAGATTTGGTGCATTATCAGGTGAGTCACTGACATAACATTTGTTTTGACAAAAGGAGGCAGGAGAAGATGATGCAGATAGAAGACAAGGTTATGTGACCCTGGTGGTCAAGACGGAGTGTATTAACTATCTGCTTGTCAGTTAGCTACTTGACTAGCTGCTTGTCCGTTATCAGAAGTTAGCAGAAAATACAAGCTAAAGACCTACTAGAGAAAGCATATATCCTGAATGACACCTTTGTCCCAGTGATCTTTTTAATAAATTTCTGGCTTCTAGGAGTGCAGATATTTTTTCTTCTTCTGATGTTCAAGCTATCAGGTGATTAATTAGAGCAATCACAGAAAACTAAACAAAACAACACATCAAAAACATAACAGTTTGTAAACCAGTACAGTGCTACAGGAACAAATCTTTGAAACCAGTACATATAAAACTTAATATTCTTTTTTCCTATTTCACTCCTAAATAT